CCAGTGTTCTAAACAACAGTTTTTTCCAAACTTGGATGAGGAAAGATCTGGAGTGTTTCCTGAGATAAATGAAGACATCACAGAACATTTGAAAATCTTGAAGAATCACTTCACTGGTTACTTTTCAAAAGACATGATTCCAACAGAGAGATGGATAATTAGACCTTTTGCCTCTGAAGTGTCAGAAATGAAAGATGATGTATATTGCTATTTTTGTGCAAAACCTGAATAATATTTTTTTCTGACTTGTTTTTTCTATCCCTTTATGATGGCTATGATTTTTTATATGGAAGTAAGGGGGTAAATGGAGAAATACATCAAGCCGAGGGAGTTAATGATGGAGGAAAAGTTGAAAATCCATTCTAACCAATAGTAGCTGTAACTTCACTACAATTCCATCTTCTGTTCAACCATTTAACCAATAGTAACTATATATCCATTCCCTCTACTGGTCTACCATATAACCATAAGTAGCTGTAAGTCCATTTCCATTCCTTCTAATCTTCTACCATCTAATCAATAGTAGCTGTAAGTCAATTTCCATTCCTTCTACTGTTCTTCCATCTAACCAATAGTAGCTATAAGTCTCCTAACATTACTTCTACTGTTCTATCATCTGACCAATAGTAACTGTAAGTGCACTTGCATTCCCTCTACTGTTCTACCATCTAACTAAAAGTAGCTGTAAGTCCACTTCAATTCTCTCTTCTGTTCTACCATCTACCCAAAAATAGCTATTGATCCACTTCCATTTCCTCTACTCTTCTACTATCTAACCAATAGTAGCTGTAACTTCACTTCCATTTCTTCTATTTTTCTACCATCTGATCAATAGTAGCTGTAAGTCCATTTCATTCTCTCTTCTCTTCTACCATGTGATCAATAGTTTCTGTAAGTCCACTTCCATTCCCTCTTCTGTTTTACCATCTAACTAATAGTATTATTTAATATTAGATTGTATTATTTATGATTTATTTAGGAAAAATGTGATAATTTTTGTTCGGTGTTTTTCATTATTAATTAATAGAAATTGTAATATGTAATATTACATTGTTACATATCTTATTAAGGAAGTAATGATCATATTAAATCTGAGGTGGTTTATCACTTAGCAGTGTACATTTCTTAATTAAACAGTGAGAGAATAAAAATAGGTTTTAGTGTGAAATCTTTCTCAGCCAAATTGGTGATTACTTTGGATATGGATCACTTGAATTTTTCAGAACATTAAGATTATTCTTTCCACTGTTGTTTAGAACACTGGGATAATCTTTAGCACTATTGTTTAAAACACTAGGATAATTCTTATCATTGTTGTTTGGAACACTGGGATAATTCTTAGCACTGTTGTTTAGAACACTGGAATAATTCTTACCGTAGTTGTTTAGAACACTGGAATAATTCTTACCGTAGTTGTTTAGAACACTTGTATAATTCTTAGCGCTGGACTTATGGGCACGGAGAGTTCACCAAAGTAACTTTGCAAATTTGTCTGCAATGCTGTCATCTTTTCACTTGCTTCAACAATGGTAACTGACGTTCCCTGAAGTTGTTTGGTGACTTGGTTAAAATGGGTAAATATATCTGAGAGGTACCCCAAACAGGCGATGAACTTTGGATCAGCAAAGTCTTCACACAGCTTTGAATTCCGGTCACGAAGAAAAATCTCTAACTCAGCACGGAGCTCAAACACACGATTTAAAATAAGTCCACGAGAAAGCTACCTCACATCAGTATGCAGTAAAAGAATGGAATGCTCAGAGCCCATCTCATCACAAAAAGCTTTGAATAAACGGTGATTTAAAGCTTGGGCTCGAATGAATTTAACAGCCTCAACAACTTTCTGCAAAACAATTTTCAGATTTTCAGGAAGAGTTTTTGCAGCTAATGCATGTCTGTGAAGAACACAATGTGTTGTTATCACATGGGATGCCTTTTGCTTCATAAGTGCAGTGAAGCCTGATCTCACTCCCATCATGGCTGGAGCTCCATCAGTACAGATTGAACCAACAATGTCCCATGTGAGATCGTTCTTTTCAAAGAAGTCTTGTATTTTCTGCATTATATCAGTAGCCTTTGTGGTTTGTTCGAGAGGTTCACAAAAGAGAAATTCCTTTGTTAGTTCTTTTCCACATATGTAACGGACAAAAACAAGAAGATGCGAAAAATTGGCTACATCACAGGATTCATCAAGTTGCAAAGAAATGTTTGCTGGGCTAGATTTGATCTGTTCAATAACTTGTTGACAAATATCTTGCAACATTTCTATGATATGCTGATGAATTGTATCATTAGAAAGGGGAATGGCTTAAATCTTCTGTTTTTCTTTATTCCTACATACATGTTCAATCATGTCTAAGGCACAAGGTTTAATCAGCTTCTCGGCTATATCATGAGGTTTCTTTGTCTTTGCATCGCTACATGATAGGAAGCTGCAAGCATTGGTTTTTTCTCAGATATGAAGCCAAGTTTGGGCAGTGTTCCTGCAGCCCTAAACCTAGCTCTCTTTGCCTCAAAAGTAGCACGGTCATCAGATGCATGGGTAGGATGTGTAGCTCCCAGATGCTGTTTCAATATTGAAGGTTTCTATGACCCATTTCCAAGAACTTTTGAGCACAGCAGACACTGAGGCTTCTCCACACCATCCACAACAATGAAGTCAAAACCATATTGTACATATGAATCCAGGTATGTACGTTTCTTGGACATGACAAAATCTGAAAAGAAATAATTATGAATTAGTATAGTGACTCTTTAGGACTGAACAGGATTGACTGACACTCTCCCTTCCTCCCTCACGCATGCACGTGAGCACACACACACATTTTACAAAATGAAATTTAATTGAATTATTATTCAATCATCAGGTACATCAATTATTTACCCCCTGCCATGTAATTTTTTACCCCCAAGGGGTAAATTTACCCCTGGTTGAGAATCACTGCCCTATAGCATAGGAAACAAAATTCTAAACATTCACTACATAGCCTGTTGTAGAGGATAATTCATCAAAGTTGTAAAGTATCATTTGGTCTGTTTCCTTACAACAATCGTGTATGTGATCTCTATGATGACTGCTTATAATGCCCTATTTTATAGAAGCCTAGTTTGATAATTGTTGTAACTAACTTGCTTATTGGATTTTCAATCCATAACCTTCCATAAGGATACATTTGTGTTGTGGTCTGGTTGGACCAAGATGACCCACAACATACACTTTCAATTTCCTTTCAGTTGAATGTTTTAGTAGTATGGTAATCTCATCATATATTGGGGATAATGACTTGAATGTAGGAACATATTAAAACTTTGGCTTTTTTTTTGATACACTGTTTGTATAAGAAATGGTTTAATATTACTTATTTGTATACTGAAGAACAATGTAATTTTGTAATTTCCTGATTTGTCAAACTATTTCCTCAAGAACACACAAATTTTTATGTTGTTCACATTGCTTGCTAACCCTAATAAAAGTTGTGATGCAATTGGTTTTTGGAATTCCATTTCAGAGCTTACTATAATGGTAATTTTGTGCTGGTGTCCGGTTGTACCCCAGATGTTACACAATGTAACTTTTCAAAGGTTTGCTGACGAGAGTTAAGAGAACCACTTTAATGCACGTCATGCAATATAGTGAATTAATATTGTTGCTTTGTAAAATAATTTTCTTGTGTTTATGTGAAAAATGTTTGGTTTTCATTAAGCCTAAGATGTAAGGAAATTGTAAGGAGCACTACATTCATGATAGAAAGGTATTCTTTTGTTGTTAGAGCATATAGATTAGTTGTTTTCTGATGCTAAGATTATAATGCTGTAATATGATGTTTCAGGTTTTTTTCCTTTCATCTACACCAGGTACTGTAATTGTTGTTGGATTACTAAGAGTTTTAATTCTAGTTCTGAAATAACTTAACTTTAGTTTCATTAGAGGTGATAGCTGGATGGTTTTCCCTCTGAATTGGTAATTTATTTCTTGTTTTTTAAAGATGTACAGAGACATTTCTGAAATCCTTTCTAACACTGCCAAGGATAAAAGTTCCGTAATAACGCTTTTTACAGGTAGGTTTTTCAAAATACTTTAAAGTTTAGTTAACCTTCATCTGTAAATCTTATTTCTTTTATTGGATACGATATGGTAGAACCAGAAGATAACTTTTAAAGATTGATGTGTATTTGTGACTTCATAATAACTTAATATCCATTTATAACTTGCCTCATACTGTACAATTTATTTTTCATGCTTGCATAAATTGAAAATATCATTTTAATCTGTGTTACACTGTCATGCTGTTTCAGTTAACATTTATTAATTTTAAAAGTAGACATTTTAGTCAATTAAAGAATATTTTCAAAACCTTTGACAGGACTTACTATGGGAAGAAAAAGACTAGTTTCCAGTTCTTGTGAATGATAGTAAAGTTAATTCAAATGAGATAATAATAAAAAATAAATAAGATGAATAAAGAATGTTAAAATAAAATACTTAATGTTGTTGTATTAGCTCTTACCTAAAAATATGATTTGTAAATGACTTAAATGCAAATTGATAATAATAATTACAGTTATTTTGCTTAATCTAACAGTTATGATTCTTGAAAATTAATGATATATGTATAATGCCTAGACCACTTCTATGTTTGTTGCATCTTAGCCAGCCTGATGATCCCTGGTATTAGGTCACAGGCCTCATCAGCACTGGATGTAGCTGATGTGGTTGACATATTATAACACACTCCCCTTTGTTTTCACTCAAGGGTTATTAGAATTTAATAAAACTGAGAAAGAAGTGTATACAATTTATGTACAACTACAAAAGCTATGTTGACTTCAGGAGCAGGTGACTATTACTGTAGTGGAAATGATCTTGGAAATTTCAATCTGCCCCCTGGTGTTGACATTGCCCAGATGGCCAAGGATGCAAGTGTGTTGCTGAGGTAAAGAAAAAACCTACATACATTGTATTTCAAAATAATTAAGTGGGGAAAAATTGTAATTCTTTAAAAGCAAACTCTTATTTTGGTTCATATGCTACTCCATAAATAGTTTAGTTTAATACTTTTTTCATTCAAACTTTAAAAACTGTTTCCCTAGGTTCAATTTTAGAGTATTCTAGAAAAGTGAGGATTAAATGGGTTTTAAAGTTCTGTTTTTTACTTACATGTTAGGCACTCCAATCTTCTGATCTATTTACATAGATAAAACCAGTTATAGAATTGGTACTGTTGACCTCTTAAATTTACTAAGTATACATGGTATTACATAATGTGAACATCACAATACTTGAACTCATCTGTTTTTTTCTTGTTATTTTCTGACTGCTTATGACATTACTTGGTTTACATTCAACTAGTTTTATAACTTCAAAGGTCACTCCACATTATGTAATTTTACAAAGAATGTATAAACAACTTTCAGATAATATTTTAATAGCCTGAAATAAATACATATATGTTTCAAAACATATACACATAAAGTACAATCCTTATATTAATGAAATACATTAAAATACACTCAAACATGAATTACTTTAATCATATAAAATATACTTTTTTATTTTTTATTAAAGTGTTTCCATAATCTTTAATAACTTAATAAAAAATATCTCTCACTCACAGTATTGCCATTTCTGTGATTTCTAGTAATAGTTTAACCTTTGCACAATTCCAACTAACTGCCCCCTCCCCCTCCTCTAGTGGCACATGGTGGGCTGAGCAAAGATAGTCTATTTTGTAGCTTTATGCTTAACAACAAACAAATAAATCCAACTAACTTTATTCAACTACTGTTACTACTGCCCTTTTACTTATATTTATTTAAAATGGTTCTAAAACATTTGGGAAATATTTCAAAAATTAATGTTATGTTTCATATTACCTGTCCAAAAATGGAACACACAAAAATATGGTTCTTTCAGAATTTTAAATTTTGTTTATAGTACATTCGTTAAAATGTTTACTGGCATATTGTGGGCCTTTTTCAGAAAATCTAATGTAGATTTTTATATAAATTCATCCTTAATCTTGAATTATCTGTTTCACAGTTTACACATTCTAAGAGATTTATTACATTTGTGGAATTGTAGTGAGATAAATTATTGATAAAATAAAGTTATCCTTATTATTTTCCTTTATTGTTTTTGTAGTTTTGACATACCCTAAATTACATAAAGCACAATTCTTTCTCTCACAACTGAAAATGCCTGCCTTAGAAATATCTTTATTCATATATATACTTAAAATTTGTGCCTCCAGGCCTGCCTTCTATCCTTAACAGATAGTGGTCTGAAAACAGGAAATGAATTTTTGATTTACACACCCTCTATAAAAGGAATATCGTTTCAAGTACTAGGAGAAAATGAAATTCGAAGAAATGTATACAAAAATGTTTTAGTAAACTCTTGACACCAAAATTTAGGGTTGATTTCTCACATCAAACACAGCGTAAGTAGCCCATTTTGTAGCTTTGTGCTAAAACAAACAAATACAATTACTTATAATAAATTGTGGTATCTATTACTTAAATTTTGCTCACATTGAAACCCATAATAATTTAATTTAGCAATTAAAAGAGAAATATTCTCCAATAAAAAATAACTTATTACAAATTAAAGCATAAAGTTTTGGCTACAAGATTATAAATAAATTATGGAGAACCACACTGTTTGGAAGTAGGAGACCAAAAAGTTTTAACTTAAATTGTATTTCATTAAACATATTAATCTGAACTTTTTTATTTAAAAACATTCTTAAATCCAAATAATGAACAGTAATCTTTTATGCTAATTAGGCTCCACATTTCTAAGTCGCTTGGATAAATTAATGGAATCTAAGTTATTTATGAAAGTTATATGGATGGGTGTGTGTATGTGTGTGTATATATATTCATTTATTTATTGTGAAAGGCTGGGACATCATGTAAGATAGTCATTTGGAGTTCGACTTAATTTAACTAACAATAGATTTATTTAAATCCAGGTTACAGTTGCAAATTGAGCACACAAGTCACTAACTCGAGAAATTTACAGTTAGATTAAAGAACTGACTCTGAAACTGAAATTCAAAATCCACTTCAATCTTTAATACAATAATTATGGAGTTTCACCAAATACCAACTGTTTCAAGTATCAATTAAATATATAGATAGTTGTTAACACATTATGGGAACACTTTCAATATTTCACAAGTACTTAAGCAATAAAATAATGTGCTCCCTACTCTTAATATTCTTTTACTAATTCTTCACATTAACATTGGCAAAAGTATTTTTAAGCTTTTACATCGCAAGAATCAAATGCTTCATTCTGAGTAATCAGAGTTTCTACAATTAGATTCTCTACAATACTCACTAAGTCACTCACTATAATCAACAGATTATCTATTAAAACTTTCATCAACATATACTCAGATGTATTGTACTTTACAAGCTCTCCTAAACATTATATGTTTCACATCAAATCCTAACCACACTATTTGATTTGAGAGAGATAGCAATATTTCCTTACATGGAGCTCGAGTGAGACATAGTTTCTGGTCCTTGCAAAGGAGACATTGGCATAGCAGTTCCAATCTTCAACATAGTCAGTTCTAGAATGGTCAACAGCAACAGGTTGACTTATAATATGAACTAAAAGACTGCCAAATTTTGTGAAGATATACACACACTATGTTGAAAGTTAGAAATATTAAATCTATAAAGACTTTAATTAGGTACAAAAAGGTTATGTGGTCAACCAAATTGACCGAGCTCATGTTGAGAGAGTTAATTGGATAATTTTTGCAGACTCATTGTAATTCTTGGAACTAAAAAGAATAAATACTTCAAAGATTGGTCATAGTCAAAGATGATAAATCAGTAGCCTGTTTTCATATATCTCTCTTCATCTTCACATCAGAGTTCCACCCAGTCTCTCTGATTTCCATACTAATTCCTTTTATGGAATTCATGTCAGTCTCTAATGAAGGTAATATAAACATTCCCATAGCTTTCTCTCTGTTGTGATGGTGTCAGTTTGTAGATATGGATCTTGTGTCTATTCAACCATCTTCAGCGCATTAGCCAATTCTGCATAATATTTCGTCCTACTGTGTGCTGTACATGATAATTGTTATGACATATATTTTTTGCTTCTTGAAGCATTGAAAATAATGAAAAATTACTCAATGCTTCAGTATATCTATAAATAAGAGAGAAAGAGAGAGAGAGACACACACACATGGCATGCAATCTCAGAGAATATATTCAGATTATGTATCGCAAGCTTGAGTCACAGGTTCGTATCACTGTCACCGATTGCTTGTGCTTTCAGCCTTGGGGAAATTAAAAACTTGATGGTCACTCATACTATTCATTGGTAAGAGAGTTGGCAGTGGTAGCATTGACTAGCTGCCTTCCCTTCTAATTTATCACTGCTAAATTAGAAATGGCTAGTTCAGATAACCCTTGAGTAGCTTTGCACAAAATTAAAAACAACTAAACAAACAAATTATGTAAGATTGATGAAAAGTATCCCTAGAAAGTTTGAACGGATGGAAGGTATTAATTTTGTATGTTTGTTTTCAACTAATTGTAAAGCATTTTACTATGTAAGAAAATGATTTACTCATACGTTTATTGTGCCAAATAATTATTGGGTGTTAAAACTGAAGTGAATTTCCATAATAGATGAATATGCAGTGAAAGTCTTTGGGGGGGGGGGGGTATTTGGCTGAATGAACTATATAGAATTGAGGAAGAAACACAAACAGTTGTACATTTCACAAATACTTCTTTTATTAACTGTCATGGTTTTGCCAATAAAGGCATCATCAGGTACAAATTAAAATGGTTTTTAAACAGGTGCATTGGAAAACCTTTTCACAAAATGTATAACACACTGAACACCAATTTGATCAGAAAAAACTGCAGAATGTTATATATCTGTGAAAAAGGTAAAACTACCTAACCTGGAAAATTTAGAAATAAATAGAAATCTTAAAAACAAATCCAGAAAAAACTCTAAATTACCAAACCAACTTAAACTCCTTCCCACTTGTCTTGAGGTTAATGTCAAGGCTACTTCTGGTTCTTTGGTTAAACCTGTTTACAAACCATTTCAGTTTATACCTGGTGATGTATTTACTGGCAAAATCATGATTGTTAATAATTGAAGTATTTATGTAACATACAGTTATCTTTTTCTGTAAATTATGGAGTTTCACCAAATACCAACTGTTTCAAGTATCAATTAAATATATAGATAGTTGTTAACACATTATGGGAACACTTTCAATATTTCACAAGTACTTAAGCAATAAAATAATGTGCTCCCTACTCTTAATATTCTTTTACTAATTCTAAACCTTTCCTGTCTTGAATTATAGTATTACAAAAGTATGTCATGACCTCAAATGTTGATTTAAAAAAAAAGCTATGTAACAGCACTTTCCAATATGAGTCTTTCTCTAAGAGACATAGGGAAACAGTGTAAGAAAAAGATATAAAACTGCTGTTGAAGGAATCCATAAAGTTGGGGGGGGGGGGGTTAGGCTTCCACTGAGAAAGGAAAACAACATAAAAGAACTGGCCACTTTTCAACAGGACTTCTAGCAACATCAAGAAAATAAAAGTTGGGCCCTCTAGAAAATCCTACTAACCTAATGAGTCATGGCACAACATTCCATTTTAGGATCTTGGATGAAAACCAAAACAGTTCAAGGGGAAAGTTCACAAGCTACATTATAGAAAGAATTACCAGTGTTCAAAAGCTGTATGAATTGCAGTTATCAGGTGTAATTGGAATTTTGTGTTCACACACAGATGAAGCCTGGATATATTTTTCTGCAACAAACCCAGATTGACTTTCTGTCTTCCAACTAGAGTGAAGCAATTTCAAGAATGGTACTGAGAATGCTTTGTAAGTTTCTCCAAAGGCTTTATGGTTTTGACTGGTTTCAGTTGTAAAAGTTAATTAAAGCTAAAAAAAGAGAGTACCAGCTAAGGTCAAAGTTCACTCCAAATTTTGTTAGGAGAAAGATGCATATTGAGGCTATTTCCAGTTCTAACATTTCAGTGATATAACCCTTGACAGAGTATGAGTAGACTTCTTTGTGTTTGGTTTCATCAAACGAACAACAGGTGGTTCAAGCACTGAAGGAGGACTACACAAATTATAGCCAAGTTGAGAGGAATATACTTAATAACATCCAAGCACTATGTAAAAGTCTACAGGAAAAGAAACAGTAATGCTGAGTTATGTGCAAGAATTATAGGCACCAGATAAAGTAATTTGGATGATTTAAAAACTAAAATTCAATAAACTGCTTAAATCTGAAAAGTGTTTTCATAATATGCTGACTACCATTTGTATATTAAGACATTAACTTATCAGGTTGAGATAACACTCATTTCATTCTGTTACAACTTATTATCCAACAAATTTGTTGTTATAAGCCTTTTAACTATTCAGTTCTTAATTGCAGATATTGGAGTGATTTTTGTTTGGTGCCTCATTTCATGTTCAGTTATGTTTAAAGTTCTTGTTTTCTTTTTTCTAGTATTTTATTAATCTTCTCACTATGTTTCAGAATATTTTTATTGATATCTATCTTTGGGCAATTTTAATTTATTACATGTAATTTGTGACAAATTGAGATTGGAATGCTTTTCATGATTAGTTTGAATCTTCCATGTAGAGATTTTGTGGATTCTTTCATCACTTTTCCAAAACCATTAGTTGCAGCTGTAAACGGACCCGCAACTGGCATATCTGTGACACTGCTAGGACTCTTTGATGTTGTATATGCTTCAGAAAAGGTCTGATAGGTTACTTCCTGCTCTCACAGAGCTGTCTAAGAAAGTTACTTAAGATTTATTGAAATCAAGCTTGAAAAATACTATTTTATGGTTCATGGTAGCAACTTAGAAAATCATGTTGTTTTGAATCTAAAATAAAACTTGATTATATCCCAAAGATTGAAATACAGTAAAAATAGCATGCCAAAATAAAAAATACTTGTTTTTGTAATATATTTTATTGAGAAGACTATAGCTAAAAAGTTGCATGTGAACTTTATAGTTCAATAAATTGATATTGTTTTATATTCTGTTTCAGTAAATGAACATATTAAGTTTAATAAAAAAAAAGTAAATAGCAAAAGAAATTTTTATGTAACATTTGTTAAGAAACGTGATAATATGTATTTTGTTTTTTCGTTGTGGATTCCAATATCTTTGTAGGCTACATTCCATACCCCATTTAGTTTACTTGGCCAATCACCAGAGGGTTGCTCATCTTATATATTTCCAAAGATAATGGGACCATCAAAAGTTAGTAATTTTATTTTCTCCACTTGTACTTGTAATTGTTTTGAAGGTTTTTGTAAATAGATTTAAGAATAAAAAATATGTAAGTCAGTATTCAGCAGTGGAAATTTCAGATTCATACCCAAAAATACTTACACAATTTTTGAGCTAGATATGGTTATATATATATTTCTCATGAAAATAAATTACAATATAACCAATAAATTTTATACTGTGATAAAAATTGAGTTTAAGAATATACTTTTTTTAATGATTTTCTTACAAATAAAAAAGTAGGATAAGGTATTGTTCCTCTGCAGTAACTTTTTTAATTTTTTATCATTTTCTGCCCAGATAGGAAAAAATAGAATTGCAGAAAGCCACATGAATCACTTGACCCCTCTTGTGTGTTCCCAACTTTGCATGCCTATAGTTATGGACTAATGGTTTGGGACATACTCTGGTCGTCTTGATCCCTTTGGAAGTTAGAATGACTGCCACAGCTTACCTCAGTAATATTTTTAATCAAGTGCATTTAGCAATGTTTCATGAGTGTCGTATTGAGGATGGTTATTTTCAAGATGACATTACTCCCATGCCAAAAATGGTGCATGCCTGATTTGAGTAACATGATGGAGATTTCAGGTATCTCCAGTTGTCACCACATTTCCCAGAGTTTAATCCAGTTAACATCTTTGGGATGAAATTGAAAGATGCATATGCCAGCATAAGCCTCTGCTTACCTTGCTGGAAGAATTGCATACAATATTAGTAACTGAATGGGGAAAAACCTTTCAGGATGCATTCCAGATTCTTGTGGATTCTATGCCATGCCATGTCATGTCATGGCTGTTGTTTGGATAATAGGTGGTCCAACCCATTATTATGTATAAGTCCTTTTCAGAGCAGCTTTATTGGATTAAATTAGATGATTTTTTTCCTTTTTGTAAGGATGTAATAACTGGTGAGAATGTTAGGGGAAAAAAGACATCTCAAGGGATAATAAATATATTTGTACAAGTTTATATGAGCTGGAGGGTTTCCTCCTATGTATATGTTACTTGGAATAGTTAGTGACACACATAACTTTGGATTATGGGATAAAACACTTGGAACCTTTTGTCTGATTTGAAACTGTGGTACATCATAATATTTTCTGTCCTTGTCTGATGCAGACGTATTTTAAAAAGCTTAGTTTTCCAACTCCAGTAACCAATTTCAGGAAAATACTGAAAACTGGCCAATTTGATAGATAGATGAACCTTATTCTTAATACAGATTTTGATTGTCTTCACCTATGTTTGCTTGTATTTCCTTTTCCTATTTATTTTCTACACAATTATTGAATCTGCATTTTTGTAGAAACCTTTGGCTACATATTGGATACCAGTGTACCTGAATACCACAAAAGTAGTAAAATAAAAACAGCCCTAGTAATGGGGTATGTGCAGTCACAGAAATGTTCTTTTAGCTTAATTATAAAATTTCCAATTGGTATTGTTTATGTTAAGTGAAAAAAACATTTATATGTGTTAAAAAATGTTAAAACTAATCATTCTTAGAAGAAACTGAAGCAATCTTGTAATTTCAGTTTATTTCAGGGATTTTTTTTGTCTCCTAAAATCAGTTAGATAAGAGGCTTAGAGTTAAATTTCTTTGTCTAAATAAGTGAATGATTGATTTTCAGTACTGACTTGTTATATACCAAAATTGGTGTAATAATCCAGAAGTTTGTGCATGGATAGATTTCTTGTTTAAAACTTTTGGTTTAATTGTATGTAAAAAATAGAAACATTTAATAAATGATAACTCGACTCATCTTTTGCTTTTTTTTTATCAGGCAAGTGAAATGTTGCTGTTTAATCGCAAGATTACAGCTGCTGAAGCAAAATCTTGTGGATTAGTCAGTGAAGTATTTCCTGATACTACATTTGAAGTAGATGTCTCTAATCAATTTAAAGGACTCGAAGAAATGTCTATAAATGTATGTATTAATAAAATGTGCTGTTTATAACTAGTTTAACTATAAATTAAAATAAACAAAGTTATTTTATTGTCTAATAAAAGATGTTTTAAACACTTTGATTACATGTTCTCAAAATAAAAAAATCTATCCAAAATTAATGTAAACATCTCATTTATTTGGTTTTGTAATTAACAATATCCAAAATGTATAATGTTTAATGTACTTTGAAATTCAAAAGCTTCTTTCATCGTGTATGACAGTATAATATTTTAAATGCCCTTTCATGACAAAAAGAGTCTTCCTTCCTAATTTTTTTTTCTTAGATTAGTGTGTTTTAATCTAAGAATGTTTATTTTTAATTTTAAATTGAAATTAACAGTTTTTGCAATGCCATTAAATTTTTTCAGTCAATAATATATGCTAAGAAGCTTGTTCGAGACCTAGATCGAGATCTCCTACATAAAGTTAACAAGGAAGAATGTGAACGACTGGTAGAACGGTGGCAGTCTGAAGATTGCATGAAAGCTATAATGGCATTTTTTCAGAAAAGATCAAAGAATTAATTTTTAATTTATTTTGCATAAAATTCTGTGATTCTAAGAATACAGCTGGAATGAATTTTAGACAAATCATGATTATCTTCTTAATCTGTGGGAGTGGCTTACATTCTGGACTGGAAATCAAATGTTTTTTTTTAAATAATGAAATATAAGCCTTGAAGAGTGAGATTGAACAAATAAAAATTTTGTATCAAACAAAATTTGGAAAATTTAAAGTCAGTGAACAGCTGAATTGATTGGAATTGATGTAAAGTTTATTTGTAACTTTTTAACTGTTTGTTTATTTCCATATTAACCTGTTTGGGCATTAAGTTTTTTCAATAAAAAGCAGTTTGGAAATGAAGTTGTTTATTATATAATATAAAACGAAATATTTTTATTAACTTTATGATGAAAACTTTTTTGTGGGTTCATATCAGTGTCATAGTTCTTGTTCTTAATTCATGCTTTGATTTTTTTATCAGTTTTATGATATAGCTTGTTGCAGTTTTTTTTTTTTATTAGATGATACCATAAATATTTTTCAAGTGAATTAAACTTCTGTGCTTCCATTTCAAAGTGATTGTCACACATAATCACAGTTGGCTTACATAAAAAAAAGAAATAACTGAAAGTTATTTAATTCAATATTCAAATTAGATCATTTATAATTGAATTTTTTGTGACATCTCTATATGATCTAGAAAAATTTTAGTACAGTGTTACTAAAATAGATTAAAGGAAATTATTATGTCGTATAGTACAGGATTTTTTATGATTCACTTTCATTCCTCAGGAGAAAACTTGATTCTCTCGTAACTTTCCTCGGGCAGTAGTTGAAGAAATAAAAACTATTTTGTATACCAAATTTTGTGCTAGTCATAATTGACTATGAATAATCTGGTGATCTCCCAATGATATTTATTTACATATTCCATGGTGTTACCATTTATACATTGAATTACTGCATAATACTGTTAAATTATTGCCATTATGTAAAAAAATGTGAACATGAAAAGAATGTGCCAAAAGTTTTAGCAATAGTTAATATATATATTTTTATCTACTATGTAATGCTACTTTTTGCACTGAATTTTAGAACTATGCATATTATAGTATTAGTACCAAGAGAATTAACTTTGTTAATGGTAATTTAGAATTTCAATGTTTTTGCTGAACTTGTTTTAAACCTTTCTCAAAAAGCTAGGTTATTTGTAAGTTTCATAATGAACCAGCTAACTCCAAATGGAACACCTGATGCTTGGAGAGTTAACACTTTTTGGGTATTTCATGAAGGGATATACTTCTGATAGGCTATATGAAGGGTTCATGTATGTTTCCATGTTGGTATTCTAGTTACCGCTCCTACACAGGCTAAAACCAAACTCTTTGTGTATATAGTGACCAAGTTGATTATCATAAAAAATGTACTTCATACTTAAGTGATGCCTTTTGCATATAATACAAAACCCTATCAGTGTAAGTAATGTGGTGCAGTATATTTCATCAAAATTACTAACGGTAGATAATTTCCTTTTTATTGTGCATTGTTTTTGCATTAATGAATTTAGTGAATTTATGGTGTAGTCAATCATCCTAGCTTGTACCTATTGGGCTTGGGATAGCATTATTCTTATTCTAGTATCACTGTCAACTGTAATGAAAATTAAATCTGTTTCTTATCAAGGAATGAACCTTCAGTAATATGAGGCTAGGTGTACACAGCGTGGTCACAAGTAAATAGACACTACCTTTTCAGAAAAAATG